TCTCATAGTCTGAGGAAGTTGTATAAGTCATGAAGAAAGCAGTAGCAATGAAACTGTCACGATCATAATGCTAAGCTAATGGATGGGTCATGTCCATCACATCATTATCCTAATGATGTGATCTCGTTCATCAAATGACAATACATGTCTATGGTTAGGAAACATAACCATCTTTGATTAACGAGCTAGTCAAGTAGAGGCATACTAGGGACTATATGTTTTGTCTATGTATTCACACATGTACTAATTTTCTGGTTAATACAATTCTAGCATGAATAATAAACATTTATCATGAAATAAGGAAATAAATAATAACTTTATTATTACCTCTAGGGCATATTTCCTTTAGTTCTGTGTGGACTACAGGAGACTGGATGTTGTAACTATCAAAAATAAGTTCCCTATGCCAGTAATTGATGAAATTCTGGATGAGTTAGGAGGTACAAAATGGTTTTCTAAACTGGAGCTTAGGGCTGGCTATCATCAAATAAGGATGAAAGAGGAAGATGAACTTAAAACAAATTTCAAAACACATCATGGGCAGTTCCAATTTAGAGTGATGCCATTTGGATTGGCTATTGCTCCAAGCACTTTTCAATGTGTCATGAACTTCATTTTTCGTGGGGCCAACAAAAAATATGTGCTGGTGTTTATGGATGACATCTTAGTGTTTAGTCAAACACTGGAAGAGCATATAGAACATCTACAGTCTGTGTTTGATATCCTCAAGGAACAACAACTGTTTGTCAAAGAAAGTAAGTGTGCTTTTGCCCAGCAGTCACTGGAATATCTGGGTCACATAATCTCTGACAAAGGAGTGGCTACAGATCCTACTAAGACTGAAGCTATGCTACAGTCGCCTATTCCTACAAATGTGACCGAGTTAAGAGGATTTTGGGGTTTAACTAGGTATTACATGAAGTTTGTCATGAACTATGGGATATTGGCAAAACCCCTAACTGCTCTCCTGAAGAAGCAAGCATTTGAATGGTCTGATTCTGCTCAGCAAGCTTTCCAACTCCTCAAACAAGCTATGATCAATACCCCATTGCTAGCTTTGCCAAATTTTATAACACATTCACTGAAGAAACATATGCATGCAATACTGGAGTGGGGGCATTTTTGTCTCAGGAAGGCCATCCTATTGCATATTACAGCAAAGCTTTGGGAGTGACTAGTCAGAAGAAATCCATATATGAGAAAGAATACTTGGCAATTATGATGGCTATTGACAGGTGGAGATCTTATTTGGTTAGAGCACCATTTGTTATCAAAACTGGTCATGAGAGCTTGTGCCATTTGAGAGATCAAAACCTGACTTCTGATCTCCAGAGGAAAGCAATGACTAAACCGGTGGGTCTGCAATTTTCTATCCAATACAGAAAAGGTGTAGAAAACACTGCTGGTGATGCTTTGTCTAGGGTAGCTCATTTGTTTAATACTCAGAATGTGACAATTAGCAAACCTGTTTGGGTACTGGAAATACTCAACTCCTACTCTGTAGATCCTTCTGCAATTTCAATGCTTCAGAAACTAGTTGTTGACCCTACTATTGTCCTAGGTTTCAGTTGCATGATGGACTGCTGAAACAATATCATAAGATTCGGGTGGGAGCTACCATTGGCTTGCAAACTAAACTGATTCAAGCTTTCCATTCAACTCCTGTGGGTGGATTTCGGTGTCAAAACCGGCGGATCTCGGGTAGGGGTCCCGAACTGTGCGTCTAAGGTCGATGGTAACAGGAGGCGGGGGACAGGATGTTTACCCAGGTTCGGGCCCTCTCTATGGAGGTAATACCCTACTTCCTGCTTGATTGATCTTGATGAATATGAGTATTACAAGAGTTAATCTACCACGAGATCGTAATAGCTAAACCCTAGAAGTCTAGCTTGTATGATTGTCATAATCATCTATCGACTAGCCTGGCCCTGGTTTATATAATGCACCAGAGGCCTAGGATAACAAGAGTCCTAGCCGGATACGTCGGTGGGGAGGAGTCCTTGTCTTGATCACTAAGTCTTGTGGAATCTTCCTTGTATGCGGCAGCTGTTCGAACTGGCCCATGAGTATACGGCCATGCGGGTCCTCGGCCCAATCTAACTGATCGGGAGACGACGTGGTGAGTACCCCCTAGTCCAGGACACCGTCAGTGGACACTCTGGAATTCTACCCACATATCATAGAGTGAAACAACTATTCAGTTGGCCAAGCATGAAAACGGATGTGGAAAATTTTGTCAAATATGGCATTTGTCAACAAGCAAAGCATGAATTATGCAAAGTACCAGGTTTGTTACAACCCTTGCCATTTCCTGACAGCCCTTGGCAATCAATAATTATGGATTGATCGTTTAAGTGTTTTCTGACAACCCACATATCATAGAAGGACTACCCAAGTCTAAAGTGTTTTCTGCTATTCTAGTGATGGTGGATCGTTTCACCAAAGTGGGGCATTTTATACCTTTGAAGCATCCCTTCACAGCAGCTTTTGTAGGCAAGGTGTTTCTGAACAATATTGTCAAGTTACATGGTTTACGTTGGCAATTGTGTCAGACAGGGACAATATATTCACTAGTTCTTTTTGGAAGGAGCTCTTTCGAGTGTGGGGCACAGAATTGCAAATGAGCACAACTTATCATCCTCAAACAGATGGGCAGACGGAGCGAGTAAATCAGTGTCTAGAGATGTACCTTAGATGTGCAGTGCATGAGTTTCCAACAAAATGGGTTGTTTGGCTACCTCAAGCTGAATTCTGGTACAATTCCTCATATCATTCTTCACTGGGTTGCACTCCTTACAAAGCATTGTATGGTCATGCTCCTAACATGGGACAACTAATGGAACATCCTCCTCTCAATCCGGATGTTAACACTTGGCTAGCCACTCACACTCAACATACAACTGCACTAAGGAGCACTTAACAAGAGCTTAGTGCAAATAAAAACACTTCGCTGACAAGAAACGCTCATAGGGAGTTTACTATTGGAGAAATGGTTTACTTGCGGCTTCAACCTTACACTCAATCCACTGTGGTAAATCGTCCATGTCGCAAGCTTGCACTGAAATACTTTGGACCTTACAAAATATTGGACAAAATCGGTGTAGCTGCTTATCGCTTGGAGTTACCTTGAGGAAGTTAGGTACATCCACTTTTTCATGTGTCTCAGCTGAAGAATCATGTGCCTGATCATACTCCACTATTTGCATCCTTGCCTGTACTGATCAACCTGTCTGCTCAGGGGTTTTCCCGGAAGAAATATTGGATCGCCGTCTGGTAAGAAGGGCAACACCTCATATTTGCAGGTGGTTATCAAGTGGGCAACAATACCAGTGACTTCAACAACCTGGGAGGATTATGAGGAGCTCAAGACACGGTTTCCCTACGCACCAGCATGGGGGCACGCTGGTTCTTCAGGGGCGGGTACTGTAAGTGCAGAGGTGATGGCGTAAGGCTCGAGCAAGGCAAGCAGGCGCACGGGAAGGAACAAAAAGACTTGATGGAAGCGGAAACATTTGAGTGAGTCAACAGGAGTCGCTCTAGTGGGTCGAGTTGTAAGCATGGGCCCATGAGCCGGTTAGTGAATCGTGGGCTTGCAGTTTATAAGAAAGCGGGCATACTCTGTGGAAGGCATCAAATTTGAAAACAGAATCATTCTAAGCCTCTCGTCTTGCTCCTCTCTACTCTTATTCTCTCCTAGTGTCTTTCCCCTCCTCTACGTCGCCATGGCCGCACCCCTCTCCTCCTCTCTGTAGCTACCTCACCGCCGGCGAACTGTGGTCGACCCGAGGTCGTGACAGCGTTATGTTAAAGTAACATATTATGTTATAATAAACAACTCTCTACTCATTAAATACTACCCCTTCGTTCCTAAATATTAGACCTTTTAGAGATTAGTTATGTAAGCAATTATTTTGGGTTAGCTCTCAAAAAATATATTTTGGGTTACGTCATGTTATTACTCCCCGGCTTCCACGCCGATCAGCAACACTTGCATAAAGTGCTTTATGTTTGTATTTCTTGTCTTTTTGTTGTTGCGGGTGCATGTAAACTACTCTCTGAGTCTCATAATCTAAAATGTTTTTTGACACTAGACTGTGTGTCAAAAAAAGTCTTATATTATGGAATGAAGGGAGTATATGTAACTAACCCAACTGATTAACGAACAGATTAATCTCAACTGCCACCTAACGAATTTGTAGCTGAAACCAAAACACACGAAGACAAACAGCAGAAAAAGGTAGAGCTAGCGATCGACCCTATATATACAAGCGAACCCGGGCACCACGAGTACGACGAGAAGGCCGAGCGGCATTGCAGCGACGATCGAGCTGCTTAGCCGGTGGCGCCCAATGGAAGCCGCAGGTTGGCCGGAGCCGGTGGTGCGGGTGCAGTCGCTGTCGGAGAGCGGCGCGGCCACCATCCCGGACCGCTACGTGAAGCCGGTGCACGACCGCCCGTCCGTCAACAACAGCACCACCAGCGGCAGCGTGAGCATCCCCGTGGTCGACCTGTCGTCGCTGGACGGGAGCGCGGCGACGGCGCGGGCGGTGTCGGAGGCTTGCCGGGAGTGGGGCTTCTTCCAGGCCGTGAACCACGGCGTGCCGCGTGAGCTCCTCCGCCGCGCGCGCGCCGCGTGGCGCGGGTTCTTCCGCCTCCCCGTGGAGGCCAAGCAGAGGTACGCCAACTCGCCGGCGACCTACGAAGGGTACGGCAGCCGGCTCGGCGTGGAGAAGGGCGCCGTCCTGGACTGGGGCGACTACTACTTCCTCCACCTCCGCCCACCCAGCAGCCTCTCCGCCGCCGACAAGTGGCCCCACCTCCCTCCCGACCTCCGGTAATCCACGCCCGTCCGTACATACATCCGTACCGTCACACTCTAGTCAGCCAAGCCCGCCGGTGCAAGTGTGCTTAACCTCCATTACTTTTGGCGGGTCGTCAGGGACGCGACGGAGGAGTACGGGAGGGAGGTGGCCTCGCTGTGCGAGCGGCTGATGGCGGCGATGTCGGCGGGGCTGGGCATCAAGCCGGGGAGGCTGCAGGAGGAGTTCGGCGGGGCGGAGGGCGCCGGGGTGTGCGTGCGGGTGAACTACTACCCGCGGTGCCCGCAGCCGGAGCTGACGCTGGGGCTGTCGTCGCACTCGGACCCCGGGGGCATGACGGTGCTCCTCGCCGACGAGCGCGTGAGGGGCCTTCAGGTGCGCGGCCGCGGCGGCGAGTGGGTCACCGTCGACCCCATCGCCGACGCCTTCATCGTCAACGTCGGGGACCAGATCCAGGTACCAACAGCTAAAAACTGAGCACGCGCACACACATGCACACACCACCATGCATGTTGCACACATGCATGCCGCTTTTATTTTACTTTATTTGTTGCTAGAACAAACCTTTTTGTTTTCTCTGCGATTTTAGCGGCCGGTTGTTAGTCACGTGCGGTGGCCACGAGCCTGCGAGTGCCCATCCCAGCCGAAAAATTGTGGTCAGAGTATCTCCCGCCGAGCCCCAACACGACCCCCTAAACGATTTTTTGCGCCGGTGGATCCATGCCGAACTCGACGCACTGGGGAGCTTCTGAGGGCGCCAGGGGGACGCGATTTTGGCGCGAACGAAGATGGAGCCACCGAGTCAGCGAGACGCCGCTTCGTACTAGATCGCCGAGTTTGCACAAGTTTGTATGTAATTTCGCCGAACTCGCGGCGACCTGATGGGCGACGACTGGGAACGAAGTCGCGCCAAACTTACGTCGGTTCACCCCCAGTCGGCTTTCAACGGCTGGAGATGCTCTCATGGCGATCGGAAACGGGCGGGCGGGATGGCCCCAGTCGACGCCCATCGCCATTACAGCGCTAGCTATACGTTATCACGCGTATCTCCGTTACAACGTCGTGGTAGCGGTGCTCCTATTACTGTGCCCGAGTCTCTCGCTAGGCCAGGGTAGGAGTGGCAGGTCAGGGTTGCATCACGTGTCCATTTCAAGCACGTGCGCATTTTGCCGTTATCCTCCCATATCTACATCGCCGTGCGTGGCGAAAGGGAGATGTCCACGCCACGTATGCAGAGCACGTACACATACGGCAGCGCCTCCACGGCGCTGGCTGATGCGCGGGCCCGTCACCCACCGGTCAGCCGCTAAAATCAATACGCGCGTATGAGGAAATTAATGTTGGCATGGTACTAAAAGAAAATGTTAAAAATCATGTGAGATCGTCGTCAGGTGTTAGCGGGATCTAAGTTCCGGGGTCAACTTCCTGCGTCGCGTTGTTGTAAAATATATCGAGTTTTGGCTGTGTTGTGCATGGACACGTGCTTCCACGTGCTCTGCGTCGCTGCCGGTATATACAGATGAGCACACACACATGTTGTGCGGACGTATGCATGCTTTGGTGTGCCGCACGACGACGTGCGTTAGTTAGCTGCAGGTTGGATCCATCCGACGGTCAAGCGTCACCTGCACCGGCTAGCTGTGCTATCCGATCAGCTTGGATATTTTCCACGTGGGAATAATCATGCAGTACGACTTTTGCTAGCCTGACATCACACCCGGCCAGATCATGCTCCTCCTTGGGGTAAAAAACGCTAACACTCTTATATGAGACGGGATGAGTCGTAAAAAAGTACTTGTGGAGCAATTTGGAACGAACAATCCTAGGAGTAACAAGTAATTGAGCAATTTGTAGGTGTAATAAAGTAGTGAAGTACTCCCTCCGTCTGGAAATATTTGTCCTAAAAATCGATAAAATACATGTATTTATAAGGCTAGCCATAGTGTGGTAACTTAGATAGTAACATAACGCATCCAAAAAACTCCCTCAATTCCCTTATACAAGGTCACTATCAAAAATACATTTTGCATCAATATAAGGCCATCAACAATAATCGAGGCAAAAATTAATGATGTTTCTCATACTAGCAACTATTTAATACTTACATGCATGTAGTCATAATGACACTTAGCTACTACTTCCTTCTCATTCATTCGTTGCATGCTTATGGCGTATTAATGATCTCGATTAACAAAAAGAAAAGTTGACTTGAAAAGTAGTCATTAAGTTTCTTGATACCTGTAATATGAGTTTGTGGCCTTGTATAAGGCTGGTTGTAATGGGAGTATCATAGCTAGTATCATGCATGCCAACTAGACAACTTTGATGAGGTGGCATAGAATTAAATAAAGTAAGAGAGGGTTGAGTATCATATCATGATACTGTATCATAATAAATGCTACACTAGTATGTGTCATGCATGACAATAAATAAAGTCATATATGATACTACCATATGATATTATGCATTAGGAAGGTAGTATCATAGACTAGTATCATATACATGATACTAACTTATGATACTACCCATTACAACCAGCCTAAGGGAATGGAGGGAGTATATATGCTTATGTGGCACGGAGTTAATGAGAAGAGATTAGTGGTTACGCACGCGGGGTTACTTGATTAGTTTGTGTAAGCAGATCGGTCGAAATGAATGCGTAGATTCCCGCCCCCATCGAGAGGAGGAAAGAGAGGGTACGTAGGGTACCGATCACGAGGCGGAGTCAGCAGCAGCGCGCACTATGGGACGGTATTCCTGATTAGGCATGCACCAACGTGCAGTCATGTGATGTGGGCAGCAACGTACTCGCAATTATTTATTTAGTCTGTATAATATTTAACCTGATCTTGACGTACCGACTCACTCACCGCTGATTCGATTTTCCCATGCTTTCCTGCCGTAATTCGATCTTGACGCGACATGCCGGAGCAGCGGCACCTTTTGTTATCTCTCTTCCTTCGATTTGAAACCCCATTAAGAAAAAAGAGGCCATGCTCGATTAGTTGATACGGTGTTGCTAAAACCGGCCGGATGGCCCGACCGACCGACCGACCGAGTTGGCTGGCTGGTCCAAGATGTGGATACAGGACGACGTACGACACATCTCGTCTCGTTGTGCATGCGTTTTACTGCCTCGTGTTGGATGATGGTGCTGTACGTGCCATGCACAGTTGAGCCACGCGCTACGTAGTACTACCGTGGTCCATCGCTACGAGAGGAGGCATCAAACGGCCCTCTCGCTCGGCTTAGATGCTGGCATATGTATTCAAGAAAACGAATCCGAACGAACCGGGCCGGATGTAGCCAGGATTTTGCCTGCGCGCGGTCCTACATCGAGATCCGTGCATGCCGGTGAAACTCAGACAATCCATACCAGTTTCATTTAAGTTCCGTGGATCAAACTTAGATACGGTGGACTGTAGAAATCAGAACTTAGATATGGCTGGATCACATTCGTACTAGGTTGATTTTGATAAAATATAATAAATATAATGTTGTTTTTGAAAGAAAGAAAAAAACCATGGGTGGATGACATCCATAGGTTGTATATAGATAGAAACATCTCCCACATGGGTGAGGACCGATCGATGACATCTATTAAGAAGGTGGCGGCAATGAAGGCCGGACGGATCGTGCAGTGCAGGGAACGATAAAGCGAGAAAATACTAGGGCAAAGTGATAAATGCAAAACCACGTGCCATTTGTCCCCTCAGATCTGACCTTGATCCACTGGCCACCAGCGCAGCATATGGTGGGGTCCAGCCAGCCAGCCTCGCTAGCTGTCCGAGGATCCCTGCAATCTGCATGCGGTGCTCTGCTCTGCTGGTGCAACGCACGGACGCCACCGCCCATCTGCTGTCCTCTGCTGGTTTATTTCGGTCAGCAGACGAAAGAACTGCACGTTTGTCACATGCCGCTGCCCGCTGGCTCGACCAACCAACCAGCCCAAGGACCACGCCTGTTTACTGTTCCATTGCCAGGCCAGTACACCGATCTTTATTCCCGCCTTCAAGGCCAGTACACCGTAATCTCACTGAAAAATTCAATCTATTTATGCTCTTTTATTGATTTATTTATAATATATATATATATATATTCGAAATAGATTTGATTTATACTGATAGTGAAGGTGTAATGCAACACAGGTGCTGACGAACGCGACGTACCGGAGCGTGGAGCACCGGGTGATGGTGAACGCGGACGCGGAGCGGCTGTCGGTGGCCATGTTCTACAACCCGAGGAGCGACCTGCCGCTGGCGCCCATGGCGGAGCTGGTGTCGCCGGGGGCGCCGGCGCTGTACAAGCCCACGACCTTCGACGAGTACCGCCTCTACATCCGGCGGAAGGGCCCCCGCGGGAAGAGCCAGGTCGAGTCGCTCAAGGCCCATGGCGACAGATGATGATGGTGATGATGGTGATATATCCACCTGCATGACGGAGCCTCCAATAATAAAAATGTCTAGCTGGTGGTGAGCGTTCAATTAGAACGGTATACATCTCCAAACGAGGAGATGCGGTGCGATGTTTGTACTACTAGCAGTTTCTGGAACGCGGACGCCGGTGGCACTTTCTCCTTTTCGAAATAAATAAATAATATAAAAAAAAGGAGAAATGGAAGTCCAAAAGATGATGGATAGCGATGAGGAGGAAAGAACTTGCCGAGACGCATCGATCCGTCCAGTTGATGCGAGAAACAAAATATTCCCGGTCTCCATCACATGCACGTGAACACCATCGCTCCTAAAGCGTTTTGTCAAAGACATGCGCGTGGTGCATCGATCGCATCTTATGCTGGAAAAAGAAAAGAATGAATACGGGCTGCAGGAAGGACATGTTCCTGGTGTTGGCAGCCCATTCAAAAATCCCTTGGAACAACACATGCCGGCAATCGTCTTCCTTCTTGGCCGATGCCGCACCCGCAGCTCGCCCAAACGTGTACTTTTCTGGAACGCAGACGCCGGTGGCACTTTCTCCTTTTTTTTCTGAAATGAAAGCCCAAACAATGAATAGCGGCGAGGAAAAATCGTGGACTGAATTCGCCGAGATGCAATCCAGTCGATTGAAGACACAAAAATGCCCCATCTCTATCGCATGCACGTGAACAAGATAGATCGCCCATCGCTCCTAGTCCCAGCGTTTGTCAACGACATGTGCGTACAGCAATCACATCTTTTTTTATCCCACCCCACTTGTTCAAACCCCTTGGAACAACATTCCGGCAATCGTCTTCCTCTTTCTTGGCCGATGCCGCGCCGCAGCTCGTCCAAAGGTGTACTTTTCAGAATGATTAGGATGAGAAAAAGAATCGCTTGGCAAGCACAATGGGAAAGCAAAATATGCCCCCCGACAACGTTCCAGTCCAACACATGCTCTTTTCTCTCCCCAGATCTGGCGGTCCCGCTACCGATAGCAATCATCTGATACAAAACAAAGAAAAAAAAATCCATTTCGTTGCAAGTGTTACCTGATGGAAAAGGAAAACACACCATGAAATCATCGCTTATCAACAGGACATCCTGCACTGACAATGATCGCCAACGAGGCCCGTGTCTATCATATCGGGCAATCATTGGAAACAGCATATTATACCAAAACTAAGGTAGCAGGAAAATCAAATGATGATGAGAGACATCCCACTCCATGCAGAAGAACGGCACCAAGACCTAGTTAAGGAATCTTGTTGAACTGGACGAAACCTCAGTGTCAAGTTTCACCCATATAGATCAGTACGCATTTCACTCAGAACATAGTCAGTTAGTGCCTGATTCTACCGAAGAAACATGGTAATTTTCTAGAAAAAAAATATGCCAAGAAGACTGGGACATGATAGAGGAACTATCGCATCCCCTAGCAAATGTGAAACTAAGAATCTGATTAATACTGTTAACTTCTAAAAGGAAGGCAGATCCACTAGGCGAACAGCTGCTAGCATGTCAGCAGTTAGCATTTTAGCAATCAAGAGTCAAGCTGGAAATAGTACGGAAAGCATGCGCTTTACACTAGCACGAAATAGTGATCGTACATTCAGCAAATTCTGCTGCTCGACAAAAGGAAAAGAACGCGGACTCACATTGTACGAACAGCTAAGACAGAAGTTGCTGGACCCCTGCCTTCTGGTCAGCTGTTAGAGCAGTTGGAAACTTGATCTGAAACTTGATCCTTAGGTTCCCTTTCTTAGACGGCTCCCTTGTGATCGGCATCCCTTCGCCCTGCACGACTTCTTCGTAGGTGGGACTGATGACAGACTTCACGGGAACGGTTAAACTTCGCCCATCCAGAGTTGTCAGTTGGACTGCACAGCCAGTCAATGCATCCACGAGGGAGATCTTATGCGTGTAAACAAGGTCGTTCCCGTCTCTCTTGAATTTCGGGTGTGCCCGTTCTTCTATTATGAACACAAGATCTGATGGTATCACGTTACGGGTCTCGTTGCCTTTCTCAGGAAAGGTGATCTTTGTGCCCTTCTTCCATCCAGGCTTGATATCAATTGTTAAGATCTCCTCCACACTCATTGGTTTCCTGCAGAAAGGAACATCAACATATGTTTTCATAAAAAGAAAGATATGTAAATAATGAGATCCTTTCTTTTTTGTCTGGAAATTAAAGCTTTAGCAACTCTAGGGCATCATACCAAGTTGACATATGGAAATAGGAAGCCTTATCCATGCAGTGTGTCATAAATGAATACCCTAGAATCACAAATACTGTCTGCTATAATCACCAATCACAAATAGGCGAAGCTATACTGAAGTTATGCATCACTCCAGAATACCTTAACAAAGGAAAACAAGCTGCATCTGTACAATTTGTTAAGTTGCAGTTTTCTGTAGTACCATGTATCTGTTTCCTTTTTCACACCTTTTAGAAGAACTGGTTCACCATCAATCCCTCTGCGTCCACATCGATTAACTGGGGAGGAAGTGCAAGCAAAGCATACAAGGATAGGCAACTTCAAACAATTGCTACATACCATCCTGCTAACTAAATGTGCTAGGTAAACTGGTGCAGAGTGGACCTATATACAAGTAGCAATTCTCATGCATTGGCAGCATTTTTACTCCATGTGTGTGGTGTGTGAGTGTGTGCATCTATGTTGTAATCGGTGTTTCTAGAAAACTTCCTTGAAAATAATAGGTTGGGTGATCAACAACTCATATTTGGCCTTCCTTGAAACAATTATACTTATCCAGATACCGATTGTTTTTCCGTGAGGAACCCAGAAACCAACTTGTCATACATATGTTCATTAGAGCAAAGAAACCCACCTACTGTCCTTCAATATGTGTCAAAAATATATATGTTACATCAAAGACATGACCTGGTCGCTTCAACTCAAAATGATTGACATGTCATAGTTCATGTTCTCGCATAGGTGTGTATACGTCAAAGACTCAACCTGCATGGCAGAAACCCACACTTGTTTGCGGTTTGCTTAAATGTATTGTGCTGAACTTATCCTATAAAAGTAAGAAGTTGATACCCATTATTCTATTTATCTCAACATGCACATATGCCACCTAACCACACATGCCACCTCATCAATTACTACTCTCTTTCTTAATTGCACACTTCACCCAACCAGCATACTTAATGCACATGCAACCATGCATACATGAAAAAATATCTACACACAACTATGAATAAAAAAATTTACACTATACAATAATCACATGATATTATTAATTCACATATTTATACTCCATGGAATATAGGGTTTTATCAGTTTTGCCATCGGTTGTGCTACACTACTCAGTTTTGCCACTAAATTTTTTCACTGCTAAAAAATGCCACTGCTCCATTAGCCACGTGCTCAAAAAAGCCATTTTTCACCGTTACCGTCAGGTCAATGGACGTTGACCACATTATATGACTATAATACCTGTCGAGGTGAATACATTGCAACCAGTTCCCGCCGCAATGCGCGGGGTATCATCTAGTTTTATATAATCTGCTGTGAAATAATAGCCACGGAAGCTAAATAAAGTTGGTAAGCCAGACAGAAAAATAGGCAAAAGCTGGATTATCACAGTCCACCTCGATGCCAAATGCAGCACAAAAAGGGCACTGTTGTAATGAACCATTTTACACAAACACTTCAGAAAATAAACACTACACCATAGTATAACTATTCTGAGTTCTGAGTTAAAACAAACTGTCTAACTCTGATGATCTTTACTAAATCACTCTCAAACAGTAGAAGCCCAATTACGTAACTATACCCAATGTCAGAGCCCTAACAGCTGTGATATCTGTTGTACGGAGTAGGATCTGGGCTTATGACTGAACTCACTGAAGGTTGAGAGCTTAGCCTATTGTTCCCTCCAGTTCACGAAAAAGTGATGTTCTCGACATATCTTAGTTCAAACATTCATTTTTTTTAACTTTTAATATTATTTAAAATGTTGGATTATAAACTTCAAACCCATACTCATAGATTTGTCTCTATAAGTACTTTCCTGAGTATATAATTTTATTCTGTTTTATACATAACACTACTAGAAATAAGTGGCCGAAGTTAGTACATCCTGAAAAACCATGTAACTGTCTAAAACTTTACTTATTTGTGAACTGGAGAGCTTATTAAAGAAGCTCATTATGCCCCCGCCATGCATTTTCGCTTATGGGATTCTAAAGGTAAAACCCTCCAAACTCGTTTTTTTAAGAGAATCCATAATTGCAGCAATAATAATAATGAGCTATGAACATAAAAAAAAATCCATCCTCAAACGGTCTCCATGTTGGATCTTTAGGCGGGAAGGTGGTAATGGCCTTTTTATTTATGAGCAAATACATTAGGTAATGAGAAACGCTATAATGGAAACAGAAAGGCACATAAGGATACGTGCAGGTACCAGTAAACGCTATAGAGCTATAACACTATCAATTGACTTATTTATAGGCTAAATCGTTTCTGGCTTTCTGCAATACCCCCAAGTGCCTAAAAGGAGGATTTGTTCTAAAACTGGAAAGGTTGTCAAAGTAGAATTTATGATTTTATTTAAGACAAGGTATCATATTACTAGAAGACATAGACATCGTGTTTGGTTGCACATAGATCGGATTAATCTAGTACCCTCCATATCAAAATATAAGATGTTTTTGCAGTTCAATTTGAACTGCAAAAACGTCTTATATTTTGGTACAGAGGTAGTACATTGAAAAAATAGTGATATAAGCAGTGCACAATGAATAAATTCTTCGAGGCAAATTGAGAAATAAGTATGAGCCACATAAGCATCTCAATGTCTTAACGAAAGCATATTGCCCACTCCAAGGAAATCATGTGTGCCATGCGCAGCTCAAACTTAAAGTTAGTTACAGAAGTCTAAACTGCCCAATTAGAAACCACACCAATAAGAGCTAGAGCCTAGAGCTCATGCTTTTTTCGGGCATCTAGGTCATTGTCAAAGTATAAATATACAACTTCATAATAAGTAGGGGGAAGTACTGAGAGGCTACATTCACCGTTCAAAATAAGGGGCGATATTTAAGTTAACTGCTACTCGGCACCTCACCAAATCGAATAACCCCTAATTGGCTCATTAAATGGTCCAACCGATTTATCGGCCTGACAGCCAATAAAAGGCCGAATTATCAGGTGACCCGATTAACTGCCAGAGGAGGTACATAGCTTATCTGGCCCAAAATGTAGCCCGTTTCCCTCCCCTCTCCCAGCCACCCCGCGATCTAGGTGTTTATGTTCCCATCCTTGTCCTAGAGGAGCAGCCGCCTCCATCCCAAGTAGCCACCGGTGAAGTCAGCAAGCCCGCGCCTCCCCCCTCCTCCAGGAGCCTCCTCTCTCCTGGTAATGATGTGTATGTATGTTGTTGTGCTGCTACTAATGTGTACAATAACATATCTAGACATCTAGTACACTGCATGTTGCTATGTTTTTTTTAGTACCTGCATGTTGCTATGTAGCCTAGGATATATAGATATGGCCCTAGTTAAACCTACCGATAAATTCAGTTAATAGGCCGATTCACCGATTAATTTCCACTCACCCCCTGACCGACCGGTTACTGATATCCTAAACATTGGCTACATTCCAACAGGAGCATCATGGATCGGCCCACACTAAGGTCCGTCTATGATTTACATGACATGTCACTCAGAATATGTAGTGCTTTAGCATAAGAGAAAACAAACAAGTTAAACAACCGTTGCTAGCGTTGCTCTGAATCTCCCACCCTCTCTCCTCTACTCTTATCCAACATGTCTATCAAATTCCTCCCTTCTCAACCGTTCCTTCTTAGGTCCTTATTTTTTGCTGCCCTTATTTTCTTCGATCAATCGACTATTTAGAAATAGCAGTGATCCTGACAGTCAGCCGGTGACAGAAAGAGCTACCGCACAAAGGCACAGACTTTCCTCTAGTCAACACAGGCATATCAAATTGCATGGAAAAGAAACATACCAAGAGGCAAGAACGTTGCTACCACTATCAGACTGAAATCAATTATCATATCACAACAATGCTATGCTTGAAAACTAATTACCAATAAATCCGATTAATTTAGTCCAGAAACAAGAGTAGAGAATGAAAGAGCAAAAGAATCCATCTCACCCGACGGAGTCGAGGACATCCCTGGAGATCTTCATCTTCTTGGTGGCGCCCTTGTGCAGGTCTTCCAGGCTGCACGCTAGCTGCCGCTCGATCGCCGCTCCCTTCCTCGCCGACCCCCCGGACGCCTCCCCTGACCCGGGAGAGAATCCTGCGGCCGCGGCGGCGGCGGCGGCAGCGTTGGCGGCGCATCCCGGGACAGACTGCGGGGCGCTGCCTCCGCTCCAGGGGCTGCGCGGCCCCTGCCCGAAGAACGAACCCCCGAACATCTCCTGGAAGATCTCGTCGGCGCTCCTCGGATGGAAGCGGAACCCGGGACCGCTGCCGCCGCCGAAGCCGTGGGCGTGCGCGTGCGCGGGCGCGGCGGAGGGGGAGGGCGGGGCGACGCCCGCCTTGATCCCCTCCTCGCCGTACTGGTCGTAGATGGCGCGCTTATCCGGGTCGCTGAGCACCTGCGAGGAGATGGAGAGAGACCGTAAGGCGACAGATTCAGAGGGTTCTTGGCGGCGGCGACGGCGGCAATGGAGGGAGGGAGGGACGTACGTCGTAGGCCACGGAGACCTGCTTGAAGAGGGTGTCGGCCTGCGGGGAGGGGTTCTTGTCCGGGTGGTACTTCATGACGAGGCGGCGGTAGGCCTTCTTGAGCTCGTCGTCGGTGGCGCCGCGGCCGACGCCGAGCACCTTGTAGTAGTCCGCCTCCATCGACGGCGACGGCTGATGCGGCAGGTGGTTCCGGCTCCCAACTTGGGATTGGCTTTGGCTGGTTGCGGACGACAGGGAGGGGGAGGACGAGGGTTTTGCTTCCCCTCTATTCGTCCTTGATGAGATGGGGTTTGTTTTGGGCTTTTCTCTTTTTGTTGTGTCATTATTTTGGGTGAAGGACTCTTCTTGTTCTATTTGTTGTTGGAGCGACATATAATTCTCGCTATATCGAATCATGTATATATATTCTCAAACAAAGCTTAAGCATCTTGTCTGTATTTAAGTATTTAGTACGTGTGCATAAGAATATTCAAGAAAATAGTAATTATTCATAGCTAGTATTACTTATATATTTTTACTGGCTAAAAGGGATTTTGGGTCCAGCATTATCTTGTTATCTACTGAAATGATCTAACTTTGTGTTTCTCAATTTTAATTGTAACAAGTTGTGCCATGTGATGCCCGTAATTCGTAGAGATTTCTAGATAATAAATTTTGCTTTTATCGTCGCTTGATATATTTTTCCGGTTGGTTTTGAGACTTTATTTCTCTATCCACCTAGAATTGTGGACTATGGACTTAATTTAATAAAGTTGTCAATAGTTTGACTTTGAGTAGTTCCATAGAATAATGCTAAATTTTATTTCTTAATTGCTAATTGAGAGCTGATATCCGTTGTCCATTCGTATGTAGCTTTTTTTCTCTCTTACCGGCCTTTATGGTTGTCAAATTTCCGTCTTTATATTTTATTGCGGTTTTTCTAGAGCTTATGTATTTTTTCAACAATGATATTTCATGCAACATGCACTTTTTTTGTGAGAGAAATTTTCAATCTATTCGTCAATCATGGCAGTAGAAAGAACACTAGAGGTAACAAAAATTACAACTTGATCCATGAATCGCCTAGCGACGACTACACGCACTAGAGTGAGCGGAAAATGCGTCGCTGTCATCGCCTGTCCCTCAAAGGAGTCGGGCAAACCTTGTTGTAGTAGACAGTCGGGAAATTATCGTGTTAAGCCCCCAAAGACCCGTGCACTAGTGCAACACTTATCTTTTTTAAGTAGCCATCCATCAGATATGCAATTTCTTATTTTGTTCTTTTAGTTTCAATTAGCACATCTTCCCATTAGGCACATAACATACGCAAGATACACATGGTATTGTAGCACCTTCATGTAAGTATCCCAATAGTAAGCATCTCAACAAAAATGGGGGAGGGTATTTATGAGCGGTGTTTCAGTCACTGATACGTCTCCATTGTATCTACTTTTCCAAACACTTTTGCTCTTGTTTTGCCCCCTAATTAGCATGATTCGAGTGAAACTAATCCGGACTGACGCAGTTTTTAGTAGAACTACCTTAGTGTTGTTTTTTTGCAAAAATAAAAGGTTCTCGAAATTGGAAGAAACTTTACGGAGAATTATTTTAGAATAAATAAATAATAATAGAGCAAAGTGTTACCAAAGGGAGGCCACCTAGGGCCCACAAGACGAGGGCACGACCACCCCCAGGTTGCGCCATCCAGGCTTGTGGGCCACTAGGCTTCCGTCTGACCTAATTCCAGCGCTATATATTTCATCCTCCCGAGAAAAAATTCAAAGAAAAAATTTCATCGCTTTTTATGATACGGAGCCACCGCCACCTCATGTTCTTCGTCGAGAGCCCTGATCCGAAGTCCGTTCGTGGCTCCGGGGAGAGGAATCTTGTTAGTGCAATGTTTTGCCCCTTTTTGTTTGGAGATTGTTGCAGAAACGGACATGGACTGATTTGTTTGCTAGTGCACATAGAGAGAAATAGTCCATGCAAGCCCGAGGAGAATGATGTATTCAGTGTTAAGTTCGAGGAACTTCACCGAAGAATATCTGTGCTGCAAGGATGAGCTATATCTCGTGAGGACATGTATGCGAGAAGATTCTACCGAAGGAGTTGACCCCTTAAAAAAATTGCTGACATGAAGCATTATCTATTCAGAGTGTTCGAGGAAAAATGACTGCTATCGAGGAGATTGATGGCGAAGTGAAGATGTAGCATTTATTTTGCTATTCTTTTGTTTTTCTCTTTTGAGTCGTAGGACCTCTGTACTATTAAGAGGGGGATAGGTTCTCGAATCTTAGGTCCACTATGACGCTTAGCCGAAACCTATGAAAGACTGAGAGAAATCACTTTATGATTCTAATTATTACCTGTTAGTAGAAGACATTGTTCTTCGGTGCTGCAGGAGATATCTTTCGGACTAAGGAGATAGCACTTCTTGCTCCACAAGGAATGTTACCATTGTGCTCAAAATCTGGCCGTTGGAAACGTGTCGTTTGGGCATTGGCTGGTCTACATGTCCAATTAGGTCATTTCCCATTAGGAAGGTTGCGACTACAAATAGTCACCCGGCTCCAACTGTTGGGGAACGTAGCAATAATTCAAAAAATTTCTACGTGTCACCAAGATCAATCTAGGAGATGCTAGCAACAAGAGAGAGAGGGAGTGCATCTTCATACCTTTGAAGATCGCTAAGCGGAAGCGTTACAAGAACGCGGATGATGGAGTCGTACTCGCGGTGATTCAAATCACGGAAGATCCGATCTAGCGTCGAACGGACGGCGCCTCCGCATTCAACACACTTAGAGCCCGGGGACGTCTCCTCCTTCTTGATCCAGCAAGGAGAGAGGAGAAGTTGAGGGAGAGCTCCGGCAGCATGACGGCATGGTGGTGGAGCTTGTGGTATTTCTGCAGGGCTTCGCCAAGCTCTATGGAGGAGGTGGAGGTGTTGGGGAGGGAGGGGCTGTGCCAGGGGAAAGGTTGTGGCAGCCCTCCCACCCCCCCCACTATTTATAGGGGCAAGGGAGAGGGGGGCGGCCCCCTTCAGATGCATCTAGAGGGGGGGCGGCGGCCAAAGGGGGGAGGCTTGCCCCCCAAGCCAAGGGGGGCGCCCCCTTTAGGGTTTCCCCCCAACCCTAGGCACATGGGCCCTGGGGGGGAGGGTTTGGCACCCAGCCCACCATATTCATCCCATAGGGCCCTTTGGGGCAGGTGGACCCTCCCAGTGGACCCCCAGAACCCTTTTAGTGGTCCCGGTACAATACCGATAAACCCCCGAACACTTCCGGCGACCGAATAAGGGCTTCCCATATATAAATCTTTATCTCTAGACCATTCCGGAACTCCTCGTGACGTCCAGGATCTCATCCGGGAATCCGGACAACATTCGGTAACCGCATACTAATTCCCATAACAACTCTAGCGTCACCGAACCTTAAGTGTGTAGACCCTATGGGTTCGGGAATCATGCAGACATGACCAAGACATCTCTCCGGCCAATAACCAACAGTGGGATCTGGATACCCATGTTGACTCCCACATGTTCCATGATGATCTCATCAGATGAACCACGATGTCGGGGATTCAATCAATCCCGTATACAATTCCCTTTGTCCATCAGTATGTTACTTCCCCGAGATTCGATCGTCGGTATCCCAATACCTCGTTCAATCTCGTTCTGACAAGTCTCTTTACTCGTTACATAATGCATGATTGTAGGACCTTGAGAAGAGGTGTCTAGAGGGGGGGGGTGATTAGACACTAAGTACCAAAGTTGCAGTTTTTAGCAAATTTAAGTTTAAGTGGAGTTTAGGCACAATTTTAACATTCACAACACATAGCAAGCAAGCATGCAAAGAGTATATGAGCAGCGGAAAGTAAAGCATGCAACTTGCAAGAATGTAAAGGGAAGGGGTTTGGAGGATTCAAACGCAGTTGGAGACATGGATGTTTTTGGCGTGGTTCCGATAGGTGGTGCTATCATACATCCACGTTGATGGAGACTTCAACCCACGAAGGGTAACGGTTGCGTGAGTCCACGGAGGGCTCCACCCAAGAAGGGTCCACGAAGAAGAAACCTTGTCTATCCCACCATGGCCGTCGCCCACGAAGGACTTGCCTCACTAGCGGTAGATCTTCACGAAGTAGGCGATCTCCTTACCCTTACAAACTCCTTGGTTCAACTCCACAATCTTGTTGGAGGCTCCCAAGTGACACCTAGCCAATCTAGGAGACACCACTCTCCAAGAAGGAACAAATGGTGCGTTGATGACGAACTCCTTGCTCTTGTGCTTCAAATGATAGTCTCCCCAACACTCAACTCTCTCTCATAGGATTTGGATCTGGTGGAAACAAGATTTGAGTGGAAAGCAACTTGGGGAAGGCTAGAGATCAAGATTCATATGGTAGGAATGGAATATCTTGGCCTCAACACATGCGTAGGTAGTTCTCTCTCAGAAATGGTAACTTGGAAGTGTAGGTTTAGTCTGATGGCTCTCTCCACGAATGAAGAGGAGGTGGAGGGGTATATACAGCCTCCACACAAAATCTAACTGTTACACACAATGTACCAAACTCGGTGGGACCGATTCAACAGACTCGGTCGGACCGATTTAGTAAACCTAGTGACCGTTAGGATTTTCGGTGGGACCAAAAATGCAACCCGGTAGGACCGATATGGTTAGGGTTAGGGCATAACATAATCTCGATGAGACTGATTACACAAACTCGTTAAGACCGATTTTGGTAATTAGCTAACCAGAGAGTTGGTCAGGCAAACTCGGTGGGACCGATTACTCAAACTCGGTGAGACCGATTTTGGTAATAAGTTAACCAGAGAGTTTGCATTGTAATCTCGGTAGTACCGATTTCTCAAACTCGGTGAGACCGATTTTGATAATGGACATACACAGAGAGATTACAATCCCATCTCGGTGAGACCGAGATCCCTATCGGTAAGACCGATTTGCCTAGGGTTTGTGGCAGTGGCTAAGACATCCAAACTCGGTGGCGCCGGATAGAAAGAATCGGTATGGCCGATTTTGGTTTTAGGTTTAGGTCATTTGTGGATGTGAGAAAGTAGCTGAGGGTTTTGGAGCATATCACTAAGCACATGAAGCAAGAGGCTCATTAAGCAACACCTCATCCCTCCTTGATAGTATTGGCTTTTCCTATAGACTCAATGT